CCATGGTGAGTAGTAATGAGTCGAGACATGAACAGGAAACTACAACATTATCAGGTGGTGCAGGTGTTGTAGAGCCTGACAGCAGCAGGGATGAAGGACCTGCGGAACCTCTCCTTCTTACACCGTGGGTGTAACAGTCTACAGCTGAAGGAGCTGCTCAGGGACCCCACAGTGTAGGGGGTGAGAGGTGTTGTCCATGATGGATGTCAGCTTAGCTAACATCCTTCTCTCCCCCACTTCCTCTATTGAGTCCAGAGGACAGTCCAGGATAGAGCTCGCCCTTCTAATAAGTCTATTGTGCCTGCTCCTGTCTCTGTCCGTGCTTCCCCCTCTCCAGCAGACCACAGCATAAAAGATGGCTGAGGCCACCACAGAGTCATAGAAAGTCCTGAGGAGAGCCCTGCACACTCCGAAGGACCTCAGTCTCCTCAGCAGGTGGAGGCGACTCTGGCCCTTCTTATAAAGAGCATGGGTGTTGTCAGTCCAGTCCAGTTTATTGTTGAGGTGAACACCCACGAATTTGTAGCTCTCCACCACCTCTATGTCCGATCCCTGGATGTTCACCAGTGTGAAGTGGGATGCTTTCCTCCGGAAGTTTACAATCATCTCCTTCGTCTTGCTGAAGCTGGTTTAGCTCACTCTAGCTGACAAAGTCCCTGATGACCGTCCTGTATTCCAGATTGTTCCCCTTTAGAAACACATCCAACAACGTCTGTGTCATCGGAGAACTTCTGGATGTGGCAGTGGGTGGTGTTGTGGGTGAAGTCTGAGGTGTAGAGGGTGAAGAGGAAGGAGGAGAGCACCGTACCCTGAGGGGCACCACGTCAGACACACAGTGATGGAGCCTCACAAACTGTGGTCTGTTGGTGAGGTAGTTAGTTGTCCATGCAGCCAGGTGCTGGGCTACTCCCATACTTTCCATCTTCACTTTGAGCAGTGACGGCTGGATGGTGTGAAAAGCACTGGAGAAGTTGCAGAACATGACCCTAACAGTGCTCCTGCTGTCCTCCAGGTGTAGCAGCGTTCTGTGCAGCAGGTAAATTACTGCGTCGTCCACCCCAATCCCAGGCTGGTAAGCAAACTGCAGGGGGTCCAGCTATGTGCCCACCAGCGATCGCAAGTGTTGCAGGATGATCCTCTCCATGGTCATCATCAGGTGAGAAGTCAAGGCAACAGGCCTGAACTGGTTAGGCTCCTTGGGGCGCAGTGTCTTCGGTACCGGGACCACACAGGAGGTCTTCCACAGAGATGGGACTTTCTCCAGGCTCAGGCTCAGGTTGAATAAGTGCCTGACCACAACACAGAGCTGATCAGCACCGTCCTTGAGGAATCTTGGGGCTGATGCTGTCGGGCCCGGGTCCTTTCTTGCCTTGATATTCTTGAGTTGACTCCTCACCTGATCATCTGTTATGGAGAGGGGGTGGAGGATGACTGGGGTGGGGATGTGGGGGTGATGAGTGGTGAGAGTCTCGGGGGGGGGAGAGCTACCTCTCCTCCAGACTGCAATGGATGTTGAGACAAAAAATCACTGAACTCGAAGGTCAGATTTCCAACCTGATGTTGACCGTCAGATCGTCTCTTGCAGAGGACCCCTGGCCCAGACCTGGAGCCAAAGGCACAGATTTGTTTCACACCCACTCCTTCGGAACCCTGGGGTGTCATCCAGGGTAACAAAAATCGATGTGGAAACTCCTACCGTGTGACATCGCCATGACCACTGTCGGTCAGGAGCCCACCGCCGTAGCCTGCAAAGCCAGGAGAGTGGTACCTGCCTTAGACCGGCAGCCTTGAGCTCCCGTGGTCCACACTGACACTCTGTAACCAGGGTGACCAGCTCCTTGTCCACAAGACAACATCCACGTCAGGTCATAGGTGACTCTATCATTAGGAATGTCAAAACAACTTCTGCAGTAACTTGCTGTGTCCCTGATGCCACTGTCTGTGATATTGAGGCTAAAGCCATTGGGATCCTGGTCAATGAAGCAGACATTCTCTCGCTCACTCGCTTACCCCCTGCCTTGGGAGACACACTGGCCCTGGCGGCGTGTGTGCTGTCGGGGGGGCAGCACGAGACCCTAAGCGTCCGGAGGTTGGACAGGCTGCTGCAGTCAACCGAGACTGAGCGGCTGTACCCGTAATGAGCCTACCGGTAAGTTCACCTACAGAAACATTGTTTCAACTTTTACTTCCTCTAGATAGTCAAGTTTGATCGTGTTGCTCTGCCAGGGCCGTGACCGACTCTGGCAGGCCGATCCAAGGACCTCACTAAACCATCCAATCTATGGTAGCGACGGGTGGTGTGTACAAAGGGCAGGGACTTAATCAACATGAGCACATTCTCCATCCATTTATTCCCTGGTAAAAAATTATCCAGGTGCTCATGCAGGACCTCAGTTCAGTCTTTATCATTCTTTCTGAAATTTGGTAGCATAACTAGACTGTGATTTTTTTTCTCTGTACCAGCTCTGTGCAGGTTGTAAACAAAAGAGGAAAATTATCCTAATTTGTTTGCCTACAATTTTTTTAATTTTGCCAATTTATCACAAAAGGAATCATGTGTCATTGAAGTTAAAAATTCATTTTTACTTTTGTACATAAGTCAGAGCCTGGACTTTCTTACTTTTACTTGAGTAAAGGAGTTGAATCAGTAGTTCTACTTTTACCAGTCTTTTTTTACACAAGTATCTGTACTTTTACTTAAGTAAGTGAGTGTGAGTACTTTTGCCACCTCTGGCAGTTATTCAGAGACTCATTCAGAGGTATTCATCGAAACTCGGGCGGGGCAAACTATTGTCAGCAAATATTTCTTTCTCTGTTACCCCCCCCACCAACTCTCGACTCTGTAGCTTACCTCGAAATGTCCATTACCTGTACTGCCTCAACAAAGCCATCACCATGGGTTAATGAATGTTTACAGTTTACTAGAAGGGGATGTCAACGTGCTGAGCAGAAATGGAAATTGGTGAAATTACAGTACCAGTTTATTATCTCGAAAGAGTGCTTACATTTTTTTTTATAACACTTTTAAAGATGAAGGGTCTAAATATTTCTATTGCCACAAATCCTCACAACCACAAGTTATTAATCAGGACCATTAACTAATGCCCCCTGATTACAATGAAGCATCTTCAATTGAGAGATGTGAGGAATTTTGGTCCTTTTTCATTGTTGTAAGTTTCCAGCATCTGAGCCCAAATTGTGGGAGAGTAAAGTGCTTCAGATTTTTCATTATTTTAATCCAGTATCACAGTGTGATCTCCTGAGGATGATGAGTAGCATGAACTCCTCCTCCTCCCCCTAAGATATTTTTCCAACATGGTTTTTAAAAGAAGTTTGTACCTTTTATTTCCAACAATATTTATCATCTGGTATAGTTCCTGCTTTGTTTAAATCTCCTGCTGTTCCAAAAAACTTAACCTTGACACAGACAAACTTAATAATTATAGACCCATATCAAAATTACCATTTCTTGTCATAGTCCTGGAGAAAATTGTTAATTCATAGCTTACTTAATTTGTCCACTCACTGGCTTTCGAATGCATCACAGTACAGAAACTTCACATTTGAAAGTTATTAATGACATTAGGGTATACATAAGCTCAGTTTAATGCTGTGTTTTCTATAATGTGGACATATATATTTTGCATGAAAATACCATCAAATCTGTCTGAAAGCTGTAGAGAACTTGGTATGTGTACATTATCATAAGGGATGAGTGAGAGAGTCTGTTTTTTGTAGTGCCACTTGCCTGGACCGATACAGAAGCCAGCGATGATGCCGACCACACAGCAGACACTGATGTAGCGCATGATTGATAAGTGAGCCTGCAGGGAAAAATATAGCCCAAACTGAAGAAATCAGTATGATCACAGTGAGCTACTTCCAAACAATGCTTCACACATCAGCCCGCTGCTATATAGCTCTATCTGTAAATCTCTGTTCTACACAGCAAAACAGGAATATTGTGCGTTTGCACTGTGCTAAATGTTGGTTCAGCTGTAAAGGACTATATGCCATTTTGATGTCTTTTTAAACTCACACAACAGCCCCAATAGCACTTTCTATTCTTTGTCTTTTTTTTTCCTGTACCCCATATCTCCCTGTATTGGTTAGGGTCACATAATTTTTAGGGAAACACACACACACAGACAAAAACACACACACCTGTAAAATGAGTGCCAATGTGATTCCAGCACTGCAGATGCCCATCATGGCAAAACCCCCAATCATGAGAGGCCTCCTTCCTAGCTTCTCTATGCTGAAACACTGCAAGAAGAGGGACAAAGTTTGGGTCAGATGTTAAATGAATATACACTATAGATGCATCAACATCTGTCTGACACAGACCTTGAGTCAGGATGCGGTTGACATGGTTTAGTGTTAAAGGTCCAGTGTGTAAGATTTAGGGGAAAGGGAACTATGAATGTAGAATAATCCTCATGATTTTTTCACTAGTTTGTTTCATCTAAATTATATGCATTTTAGTTTTATTTAGCCCAGAAAAGGCCCTTTATATTTAAATACTTTATATTTACATTGAGGGGGTCCGCTCTACAGGGGCCGCCATGTTTTTTACATTAGTCCAGACTGGACAAACTAAACACCTTTTGAGTTTTTATGACAATTTAAGGCTACCACACATTCTTTTTCATGTTTGGAATGAGAGGGTGAGGTGAGGGATGTTCAGCTGCAACATGCAATTTCAATAGTAGATATCGCTAAATTCTACACACTGTACCTTTAAGTTAGAAATGTGTCCTGAGCTGTTTCCTACTCTGTTAAATTCCACAGATTGGATTCCACATAATTTTTTTTTGTTGATTTAGTACAAACCTAATAAATAAGACAGTTTATGTCAGGTATTCAAGTAATATACCTAAATGAAAAGGGACATTTGGCAAGTGAATGAAAAAATAGGTGAATGGATAACTGTGTACCCCCTGTAAAAGTTAAAAATAGATTAAATATATAAACAAACAAATAAATAAGCTTATAAGTAGGGAAAACAAACTACATGTGTGCAACAGAAGTGCAGAGAAGCATGTCAGACTGCAACTCTGCCTCCTGGTCTCATCTCTGGACTGTCATGGTGTTGACTATGTAATGTCACCTGCTCTGGCCCCAGGAAAAAATTTAACTGTCGTCGCCGGTGGTGCTAACTTCAAGTTTCTCAGAATAGAGAATCCAATAACCAGATTTGGTTCATCAGCGGGTGTGTTAATGCACAAATTAGCCTCAGTGGATCAGATGATAGCAGAATTAGGAAAGATGCACCCAAAACATTAATACCAAATTTGGCGAAAGTTGGTTCTGTGGTTACAGATGTGGGGTGTTTTTTCATTCCCTCTATTAGCAAAACACTGAATGCTTTGCTCTGCCTATTTCCTGGACATGACAGAAACATACCTATAATGTTTGATGATGATTAGACCAAATGTTGATGAGTTATGGCCAATGTCCTGTTAAGCCCCTGGCAAAAGGTTTTGGTTGAATGTTTTCTTACCAATTTATCTCATTTATAATAGAAATGTGTATCTAACAATGTTGTGTACCATGGTGTGTTGTATGGTTAGAAAAATCAAGTGTGACATGTGACATTACTCTTTTTCAAATAATGCAAATAAGCAAAAAAATCCATCATGGCAGACTTTTATCCAAAGTGACTTCCACTTGAGAGGCTATTGGGGGTTCAACATCTTTCCCAATCTTTCCCAAATTTGCGCCAAGGCAGCAGACACCAAATAATAATACAAAACTGAAGCATACATAATAGGGTTCTGGCCCTGCTGGCTCGAACCCTAATAATAACAAACCGCAGCAAAAACAATAGGGTTCTGGCCCTTCATACTCAAACTCTACCACACTGAAACAAAAACAGTAATGTTCTGGCCCTTCAGGCTTGCTTGAAACCATATAAATAGAATAAGAAATAACTGCAGTACAGTTTAGATTTGCAGAAGTTCCACAAATGTGTAGATTAGCAGATGCTGCTTCTCCATGTTTAGTTTTGACTCTGGGGACAAGAAGTGAACCTGTTGCAGACAGGGGTCTGGATGATTCATAATTTATCAGGAAATCCGAAATATATTTTGATCCTAAACCATTCACTGCTTTATAAGCCGACAGCAGGATTTTGAAGTCAATTCATTCATAGATAGGGAAGCAGTGTAAAGATCTCAGAACTGGAGTGATGTGATCCACTTTCTTGGTGTTAGTGAGGACTCAAGCAGCAGCATTTTGAATTAGCTGCAGCTTTCTGATCAATGCTTTAGAGAGACGTGTTAACACAATAGTACAATAGTCAAGTGGGCTAAAGATAGTATATACTGTGGTCTGGAAGTGATGCTGGTGTCAGCAGTCGGTGGCGGCAGCAGTCGGTGGCAGCATTTAATAACTGAAACTCAAGATGCTAGGATCTAGGTTTTTGTTTTTAGCTGGCCAGCTTTTTCTGGCTAGGCTAGACTGTTATCCTTTTAATCTTTATCCGTGGATGCTTATCTTCTTGCTGGTGCCATTCATGGTGAAACTGAGTGTATATTTCCAAGAATGTCACCTCCTCATTTATCTCCCTTTATCAATGGGAATCAGTTACCAAAAAAGAGCTTCCAGAGACAACAACAATTGAAAGATAATACCAGCTACAGTATAACTGTATTTAAATTTGTAACTTACCCCAATGAGTCCAGCGATGATCTCTATAATTCCTGTTCCTGCTGTGGTGTACGGGATCTCTGGAGCTGGGATACCTGCATTTTCAAAGATGTCATTGGTGTAGAACCAGATCTATGGTGGAAAAAAGAGCACTTAAAGATAAATGAAGTAAAATTGATTGTCCCGGACATAGGAATATATGTTTCACAGCACAGCATATTTCACATTCTACCCCACAAACCACTTCCCATGAAACAATAGTTTCAGACTGTAGTTCTTCGTCTGTCATGTCATAATGTCATGCCTGAATGCGAGTACCTCACTCTATTGTCCCCTATCAGACCTAGTATTAACACCCATCTCAGGTGATCCTATTACAAGTGGACAGAGCTGAGTTCAGGTGCGAAGACACCCAAGATGCATTTAGTACACATTTGAGATCTGATCACTCGGGCTGTATCAGGGGATATTTTTTACTGTCTTCAATACTCATATGACTGACACATTGATTGATTTTGAGTTGTTCAGCTCCTCCTAGCTCAGCCATTCACTCTACCCCTCACACCAAAACAAGAAAAGGAACTCATTGACAATGAGCACATCTCTGAAGTCACATTGGCTTAAAACAACATCCTTGAAAACAGAAATGACGTACACATTTATTTGCATATTGAGCAGGGAAGTAAAATCTGATCATAGGTGCTCACAGGAGACACATTCTAATTCCACCGGTGAACTGATGAACGTAGAGCTTTTCACCTGTGATCAGATCTCTCAGGACAGATGTAACTACCAGGTCTGGACAGTTCACAGTCAACTCAGTGCATGGTCCACTTTGAAATCAAATTAACTTTTGGCTTTTCTAGTCTTGAAGACCACTCAAAGTGCTTTACACTACAGTTTGCCATTCACACACACATTCATACAGTGCATCTAGAGTAGCACTTTTATTGTTGTTCTATGAGGGGGTTCAGCATCTTGCCCAAGGACACTTTGGCATGCAGATGGTAAAACTGGGAATTGAACTTCTGACCTTCTAGTTGGAGGACGACTGCTCTACCCCTCAGCCACAGCCACCCCTTTTGGCATTATCTTTAGACAGTACTCCTTGTATAAGAGAAAAAAGAATACATAATCATTGTAATTGTGTGTCTAGAGGGTGTGACAATCATGGCCGATCACAATCACTACTCTTATCACAAAGAATTGTCATGTTGCAATTTCATAATGTAAAGACACACAAATGGTCTCACGACATGAGCTGGAATGGAGTGTCATAACATGGGGAGGCAGTACCTCAGTCCATAGAGACTGGGAATCGGAGGGTGGCCGGTTCAAGTCCAGCATGGACCAAAGTATGAAAGGTGGACTGGTAGTTGGAGAGGTGCCAGTTCACCTCCTGGGCACTGCCGAGGTGCCCTTGAGCAAGGCACCGAAACCCCCAATTGCTCCCCAGGCGCCTTCATGGATGCCCAGTGCTCCGTGTGGTCACTGTGTGTATTGTGTTCTGTGTGTGCTGTGTTCACACGGATGGCTTAAATGCAGAGGTCAAATTTCCACATGTTGCATGTAGTGCTGTGTGTGCATGATTGTGCAACAATAAAAAGGAATCTTAATCCTTAATGAAAACATTTGGAGGTTGAATAGTTTTGGATCAAACTATTGTGTACTAGAAACTTGTACAGACAGCATTTCCCCCCACATATCTATATATCTATAAATCTGCATCAGTGTAGTAATAAAATATCTGATGTGCGAAAATACACAAAAACCTACCCCACGGGCCCCTTACCAAGAGGAGTCTGCTTGTGTGAATGGCTGCACAAACCCCTCTGACATTTACATCTGCACCAAGCATAAATAATTCCCAACAGTGCTTGGTAACTTTATGGTTAAGGTATGCTGCTACACAGTACCTATGGTGCTGACTCAATATATATACAATATATATATATGAATTGATCTGAGTCTTACAATGATAGGGAAAAGTTAAAGTCCTTACAGCATCAATGCCAGACAACTGCATGCCAATGTTGATGACCACCACACTGAGCACTTGCCAACGGACTTTGTCATCTAGCAACAGTTTCCATACTGACAGTGTCTCCACTGATGACAGGGAGTGCTGCTCCTCCTGCATCTCTTCAAGTTCAGCCTGGATGTTACACTTGGCTCTGTACCAGTTCAGAGCTGAGAGACAAGGGATAGAGAGCAAAATGGTTATACCACACCCTACAAAGATGCAATAGAACATCTACAATAAGTCATTAGAGCTGCACCAACTCAGGACTAGTTCTAACTTAAAGGTAGAGTGTGATATCTAGTGTTGAAATTGCATGTTGCAGCTGAACACCCCTCACCTCACCCGCCCCTTCCAGACATGAAAGAGAACCTCATAAAAACTTAAAAGGTGTTTAGTTTGTCCAGTCTGGACTAATGTAAAAAACATGGCATCCTCCGTAGAGATGGTCCCCTTCATGTAAATATAAAGTATCTAAAAATAAAGGGCCTTTTCTGGGGTCAAGAAAACTATTCCTTCAATTTAGATTAAACAAACTAGTGAAAACATCATGAGGATTATTCTACATTAAATTTCTGCCAAAAGTTCCCTTTCACCTAAATCTTACACACTGGACCTTTAACAATAGAAACGTCAGAGCAGATCTGGCTGATTGCCTGAGGATGGTGATGTCGGACAGTCAGATAGTCATCAGCACCTTTAATGTTTGTGCCACAAGGGTTAATTCTTGGTCTACTCTTATTCTCTCTGTGCATGCTTCACCTCTGCCACATCACTGGTGGCTTTGATTTCACTGATCATGTCTATGATGACATGCTGTTTTATAAATGTGAAGCTACACAAAGCTGTCAAAGAACTGATAACAGAAATGTGTTTTATTGGGCCAGTTATTGGTCTAATGTTGAAATTAATGTGTCACAACACTTACCTGTTATGGTGGCATGGACATTGTGTTTCTCAATCAGTAGGTATCTTGGGCTCTCTGGAAACCATGGCAACAGCATCAACTGGATGAAGGTGGGTACCACCACAACAGAAAGAAAAAGGGGCCAGTGCTCCTCCTGTGACAGTTGCAACACAGTTAGTCTTTCACACATGCTAAAGATGTAACTCTGTTAACACTAACCCTAACACTGATGATGTATAACAATAACGTACAATAAATTTAATTCATTTTAGTAAAAGCATGGGTGGGGGGTGGACTCTTGTTGTCATGTCATATTGTCAGTTTGGGACTACTGTGGAGGCATGCAGTTTATGATCATTATGTTTACTGTGTGCAATTATCAATCAACCAATAAAATTTGATTACATTTTATTTGTATAGCCCATAGTGACAAATCCCAATTTGTCTCATAGGGCTTTAACAAGGTGTGACATCTTCAGTTCTTAACACTCAACAGTAAGGAAAAACTACTAAGAACCTTCAGGGGAAAAAGAACATAGAAGCCTCAGGGAGAGCCACATGTGAGGGATCCCTCTCCCAGGACGGACAGAAGAATAAGAGTAATTACAGCACTGGTTAGAATAAACAGTTTGTAATACAATGGAAGGTAAATTAATTGAGGAACTATTGCCAATAATGGTAGAGTATTTGAGTAGAGATATTGGGTAACACTTATATTAGGGAACACACAAAGTGAACATATCCAAGCACTTGATTGTAATTCATGTACAACAACCTCCTTACTTACCATCAATAAGCAGTAATTAGGAGGTCATTAAGAATAAGGCATTAATAGGTGCTTTATAATGACTAATAAAGAGCCAATATGCCTCTAATACCCATGCTAATAAGCAACTAGACAATGGGTGATATGTGTTCCCAAATATAAAGTGTTACCAGAAATTGTATATCAAGCAGTCTTGTTTTAATCATAGTCAATTATATGTCACAATGATCCACACGTTGATCACATGTTGCATACCATCACAGTAAAAAGTAAAGAAATGAATTCATCCTTATTATTCTTTCTTCAAGTTCAGTTCAGCTGGACATCTTTGGGCTCTGAGCTTTAAGCATACGTAATTCTTACTTCCTCAATCATTATACCTTGTATACTAGTAAATGGAAATCACCTTAAATGTACAAATTGTAAAATTACATTTTGACTCTGAGGTTTAGTAACTAATTGTAGAATTGAAGAACTCTGGCTTTTGCTACACATAAACATATGGTCACATGAACTTTGCTTCAATTCTCAGCACATGATGGCTGTTATTACAAATACATTTTTAACTACCTTTCCTAGAAGCTCATGTAGGCCAAGGATTTGGGCAGCAAAGACTCCCATGCCGATAAAGATACTTGGCACAAGACCCAGGAAGCCTCGCAGGTTCTTAGGTGCTATCTCACCCAGATACATTGGTACGACACTTAGAGAGATGCCTGCAATAAAAGCAAAGACAAACATCTATGTAACAAATGACAGACTTACCTTAAAGGTTCAGTGTGTAGACTTAAGTGACATCTAGTGGTGAAATTGCATGTTGCAGCTGAAAACCCCTCACCTCACCCTCCCCTTCCAGACATGAAAGAGAACCTCATAAAAACTCAAAGGTGTTTATTTTGTCCAGTCTGGGCTACTCTAAAAACATGGCGGCCTCCATAGAGAGGACCCACTCCCGATGTAAATATAAAGTACTTAAATATAAAGGGCCCATTCTAGAGTAAAAAAAACTTAAACAGTTCATAGAATTTAGATGATTACACACTAGTGAAAACATCACTAGAATGGTTTTAAATTCAATTTCTGCCAATAGATACGTTTCACCTAAATCTTACACACTGGACCTTTAATAAAATATTCTATGCAGAATTAACTGTAGGATTTTACTACACTATCAAAAAGTACAATTGACTGGACTAACAGAGCCAACAGTGAAACATCAAGGACAACAAGGACAACAGTTTGTGGAGGGCTAAAAAAGGCAGATTGATCCCTGGGGATTATAACAGTATATGATTGTTGATTCAAAGCTAAGTGAGATGAAAAATGATTACAGTTCTGCTACTATTAAAGGAGGTGCAAGAAAGATCATATGGAAGAAACATATTTTAATGCACCCTAGAAAATTAAAGGAAAAGTTGTATTTTAAATATGTTTTGGGTATCTACATCCAATCTGATGAGCAGAGAGACTGATTCATTCAGTTTAGAGATCAAGGCTCTGTGCAGGCCAATCAAGTTATTCCAAAACCAATCCTGTAAAATCGTTTTTATGGGACTGCCATTGTTCCAAGCTCCTAAACTCATGACAAAATTAATTTGGCCATATGGTTAACATGGACGTTTGTGTGTCTGCATATTTGTGTACCCGAGTGAATTCCAGTGATGAAGCGGCCAAAGATGACCATCTCCGGTGAACCACAAATCCTGCTGAAGCCCATGAGTAAGCCAGCAATAAACACCAGCACTGTTGTGTTCACAACTGTGCCTTTCCTGAAATCACACACAGGCACGCACACACACACACACACAGCAGTAGGAAGACATCATATACATGTTTATACATAAGGGCATATGTACCAGAGTTTTATAAAAGAAAAGCAGCACCCCTCCCTGATGTACACACAGTCATAATGACAGAGATTTATGTCTGTTTGAGTTCTAATTAGAAAAAACACACTGTCATATTGCAAAGGGCAGTCATAAGCAAAAACTGCTTGATGAAGAAAGTGATCAACCTATAGAATCACCTGCTTTCCATTAGCATTTTAATGCCCATTGAGGTACAAAATAGTGGAGATAAATCAAGATGCTGACTTTGAGGATGAGTGCATTTCTGAAGGGCAAAGGGGTCAAAATTATGCTGGTACCATCTGAAGGATAACAGGGCACTAGAGGAGAGGGGTAGTGTTATTGGTTGCTCAGAGGACAGAGGCATTATCTAGTGCCTTTTATACCAGTGCAGGTGTATGTGTTTGTTTCTTTCGCTATGCCTCATTTCCTCATCTTGTATTATCTTAGCTATTTCACTATATAGATTTTGCATCATGTGATGACAAAATTGTGTTCCTCACTGTGCACAATGAGGTGGAAATGAATCTACGTAGTTGTTGTTTGAAAGTAAAAAAGGTGACTTCCTCCCACTATGCAGAATTTAAATTAAAAAATTGGGATGGATGGAGCCACTAGCAAGGTCGCCCCATTACATACACTCGACTAATTTGATCCCTTGTTTTGCTCCTTTCCACAGGTGTGTGCCATCTCCCCCTGATGAGTCTGTGGAGGTGCGGCCTCACCACCTCTCACCACCTCACCTGCAGCTCATTGGCTGATCACAAGCAGGATATCTACCCTGGTCGTGCTCCAAGTCATCGCCAGTTCATCCTTCAATGCTACAGTAGTAGTCACTTCTTGGCTGCTCTAAATTGTGTGTATATATATATAATTATCACTTGATTGACACGTGACATCACTGTTAGCTTGTCACTCTGGCTGTTAGCCTGTGGTCTGCTCGGCTTCACCTGAGCTAACAAGCTAATCCCCGTCACCGAGGAAGAGCGGGTCTGTGGAGGAGTTTTCACTCACATAATATTATTCGGATAAATATTATTGTTTGTTGTTCGGCTAATTGTCCTGATGGAGAAGTCGAAGATGTCCATGCTCCAGTGTCTGTGGTGAGTAAAGTACTGTCTTTTATTTACGTTTGAGTAGCATAGACTGTACATAAAGAGGTCAGTAGTGATGAGCAGGTATTATTGTCTCTGTACCTGGCTGATTAGCTTAGCTCCGCTAACCTCCAGGCAAGATACCAGCAATAATGGCGATGCTAACGGGAGCGACGGGGGTTATTAAACCGACATTAGGCGTCCACACAGCGGAGAGAGGAGCGTTAGAGTTTATGGTGAGAAATCTTTTAAACTGAAGGCGACTGTGTGTTTACTGAATATCACCAAGTTAGATATTTAACGTCATGTAAAGTTGTTCAGCTCCCCAACCTATTTGGCTTGACTACGTTAATGTGAGTAACTTCAGTAATAATGTTTTATTAGATTATTGTTTCAGAAATAACGTTAGTGCAGCTGCTGCAGTGTGAAACGTGTTGAGCTGGACTTTATTAATGAATGAACAGTTTACCTGCCAGGTATAGACCTGTTTTCATAACTTACTAACAATTAAAGCAAAGTATTGCACATGATGCATTACATTATATATGCAATACTTTTAATGTGAAAGAACTCCATACTGCACATTCATTGTAGTACACTGTTTAATCCCAAACCATATTCAAATACATAGTTTAATATCCACAGAATATAAGGACATAGACTTTGTTTGAAAGTAACACTTATCTCTGCAATAATGCCATACTTTTATGTTTCCTGTCATTTTATTAGGGACGGATTAACCTGAGGGACACAGCTGTGCTGACCGTGTTCTGTCTCTTATGACAAAAAAGAAAAGACATTTTATCTAAAGTTTATCAAATCAGAAAGTAAAAGATGAACATTGTTGTAATAACATGTTAATTTTACCAACCATAATGGATATAGAAATTTACTCAATATTATTAWCATGTTGACCAGCCTGAAGCTGCCGATCTCCACCACCGATCGCTGGTGCCACAGTGGATTCTGAGGACATCAGGTGTTGCAGTGCTTCATTTAATGAAATGAAAAAGTCATGTTAAAGGATGTTTTATGCTGAAATCATTGTCATATCTGTAGATATTAAGGAACATAGGAGAAACACGATTATTTACAGATACTGTACGATACAATAATTACAATACTTTTGACACATGTAATATCAGCTGTGTTAAGCAGCATGCCATTTTCGTTCGGATTTACGTGCCTCTTGCTTTAAGCTGCGAGTCTGCTGGCTATACCATGGTGCTAACCTCCTTTGTTTAATTATTTTCTTTTTCAGAGGTGCAATAGAGTCAAGAGTTGTTTGTAAAGAGCCTGTAGTACTATATACAAGATGATCTATTTGTGAGGGGCTAAAGGAAGCAGACAATTCCTCTGCTACATTGAGACATGGCATTGAATTCAATACTGAAGGAATCACTTCCTTAAATTTGGCTACAGCACTATCAGATAAACATCTGCTATAGGAGTTTCTGCCAAAAGGCTTATAGTCCAGTAATATGAACTCAAAGTTTATTAAAAAATGGTCAGACAGAAGAGGATTCTGTGGAAAGACTGTTAGATGATCAATTGAATCTAATAGAGAGATATACGCAGCACTAAGACTATCATTGTGGTTGTCCACATGAATATTAAAATCACCTACAATAATAACTTTATCTGTTTTAAGGATCAAGCCAAATGCAAACTCTGCAAATTCAGTTAAAAATTCTGAGTAAGGACCGGGAGCTCGATATACTGTAACAAATGTAATGTAATGTTTTCCAGGTTGGATGAGTAAGGCTAAGTACAAGACTTTCAAATGAATTATAATTTAGCTTAGGCTTAGGATTTATTAATAGACTTGAGTCAAATATGGCTCCAACTCCACAACCTCGACCAGTAATTCGAGGAATATGAGTATTACAGTGACTGGGAGGAGTGGATTCATTTAAGCTAACATAGTCATCCTCCTGCAGCCAGGTTTCATTAAGACAAAATAAATCAATATCATAATCAGATATGAATTCATTGACTAAAACTGCTTTGGAGGATAAGGACCTGATATTCAAGAGTCCACATTTAATTATCTTATTTTGGACTGCTGGAGATGTTGATTTAATTTTTATTAAGTCGCTAACTTCACGTTTCGTAAAATCGAGCTGCCTATAACCAGAGTTGGCCTCTCAGCGGGTGTGTCACTGAGCGGGGAAAATCTGTTAGAAACGTGGAGTGGTTGGTGGTGTACCGTGGGCATCAGTTTGGGGCTATGCCTCTTTCGAACAGTCACCCAGCCTCCCGGCTGCTCGGGGGTTGCCGGGGGACGGCTAGCTGAAGCTACCTTCGGTGGTACCGCACCGGCTACAGGTGACTTGCTAACTGTAGCAGCTACTGACTGTTCGGTGGTGCGGTACCGTGCCTCTAAATCACTGAGCCTCGCCTCCAAGGCAACAAATAAACTACATTTATTACAAGTACCATTATCGCTAAAGGAGGACGAGGAGTAGCTAAACATGTAGCACAGTAGGCATGAGAGAACAGGAGAACAGGAGAGCAGAGAGAAGCCATTGCTATAGCTAGGCTAGCTAGTGTAACTAACACACTAGTAAAACTATCAGATTTAAAGAGTTGCTAAAGTTAAGAGACCTGTTAGTGCACAAACAGAACAAGTCTAAGGATAGTCTAAAAATATGCAGATAATTGCTGATGTGAGAATCATACGAAAATCTGTTTAGGTGAGCAGCAGAGAGCACCATGGCAGTGACACCGACAACCAGAAGTGGCAGAATATGCTTACCGTAAAGCAGTGAGTAGATCGTAAAGCAGATCAGATGTGATTTTAATCTCCACACACCACTGTTGTAAACAGCGCTCATATTTATTATATATGTATCTGTTTTCACACTGAGAGAAGTTGAGGGACTTGATGTGGACTGTTATCAACAGCACTGTGAGAGATTATCACCCTTGAATATTACAGATGTGGTAGAAATACATTTTATATATTTGTACAATGTTTATTTCTTTTAGTACATCAGTTTGGCTGAAATCTGGGGTGCTTCCACCTACTGAACACAGAATAAACTGTAAGTACCAGTCTTGGCTGCTTAACACAGCTGATATTACATGAGTCAAAAGTATTGTAATTATTGTATTGCACAGTATCTGTAAATAATCGTGTTTCTCCTCTGTTCCTTAATATCTACAGATGTGACAATGATTTCAGCATTAAATATCCTTTAACGTGACTTTTTTCATTTCATGGAGCACCGCAAAATGAGGACGACCTGCACAAGCTTCATCTGCACAACACTTCATGTGTTCCTCCCTCTATATCCATTATGGTTAGTAAAATTAACACTGTTATCACAACAATGTTCATCTTTTACTTTCTGATTTGATAAACTTTACATAAAAAAAGTGTTTTCTTTTCTTTTTTGCCATAACAGACAGAACACGGTCAGCTGTGTCCCTCAGGTTCCTCCGTCCCTAATAAAATGACAGGAAACATAAAAGTATGGCATTATTGCAGAGATAAGTGTTACTTTCAAACAAAGTCTGTGTCCTTATATTCTGTGGATATTAAACTCTGTTTTTGAATATGGTTTGGGATTAAACAGTGTACTACAATGAATGTGCAGTATGGAGTTCTTTCACATTAAAAGTATTGCATATTTAATGTAATGCATCATGCATTTTGTGCAATACTTTGCTTTAATTGTTAGTAAGTTATGAAAACAGGTCTATACCTGGAGTCAGTGCTGAAGTGATGACTCAGTGTTCAGTCTTGTTGGAGTCCAGTTCTGTCTCCTCATGTTGGACATCCATGGGTGCAGGATATCTGAGTCACAAGTTCACGTTTCAGTC